CTTCAATTGAGGTAACCCTGAGATCTTTACTCCTTGAGGTAATACCTCATTGAGAATATCTATGGTGAAGGGACTGCGTCTCGTTGGGAGAGGCATTCTCTCACCCATTTGATTATTTGGTTGAGAGAAAAGGTTTTGGCGAGACATTCGGCTGTTTACCTCGCCTTCTCCCTCATTAAATAGAGGGACTCTAGGTGGTGATGCGTTCCCCCGGAGGGGTGAGCGCCGACGTTGTTGCCTAGGCTGTGCTCCTCTGTGATTAGTAGATAGCTGCACTCGGGACCGTGGGTCCGACGTAGAGGAGGAGACACTTATTTGATTCTGGATTGGCGGTGGGGCCACAGGTGGCACTATAGGTGGAGCTTGCGCTGGTATCGCATTGGGAGCGTTTTCTCCCATCGTGGCGATATATTGAGTTACGGCCTCCATGGCGGCGCGAGTAGAAGCTTCCGCTATTATGCGTTGGAGCGCGTCCTCGGTTATTAATTGAACCGTTCGAGGGGCAGGGAGTGGTGGATCGGCGAGTGGTGGGTCCCGATGATGGATCACCTGAACCTCGCGAGGTGGATCTGCAGCACGTGTAGGAGCTGGCTCCGTAGCACGTGGAGGAAGTTGTTCCGCGGCGCGTGGAGGAGGTGGTATGCCAGATCCTCCACGGACTGGGAGGTTATTTGCTGTGTCATTTTCTCTCCGAGTTGACGCCTCAAGAGGATCTTGTTGGCTACGTGATCTGGTTTGCATCGTTCCCACAGACGGCGCCAAAATGATGATGCTAAAGTTTAGCTCACCTAGGATAATGTAGAAAACGAGCTGGGAGAGCAAAGCTGATCAGTAGCTAGTCAATTCGATGCTCCTGAGGTCCCTACGAAAAGAGCACACGTGAACTAAGCCGGGGGTTGATCCGGCGGAAACCCCTCCGACGCTCAAGTCAGATGTACGGATCGTAGAGAGAGTAGAGAGAATAAAACTCGAGGTGAATTGTCAAATATGAGAACGTACCTTTACAAATGAATAAAACATCTATTTATATATCGGTAATTGGGTTGGACTTACTTTGTTGGGCCCAAGCCTTACTTTGAAGGTGTTTGGGCTTTCGTGTAGTGGGCCTAATTAGTAAGTAACTTTGAGGGCCCATTGGGCCGGCCCATTTAGGTATATCAATATATATATATATATATATATATATATATATATATATATATATATATATATATATATATATATATATATATATATATTGTAGCTTGTAAGAATGGCTACGTACGTAGAGAGAAAGTTAACACTAAACATCATATGAGTAATGTGTGGGAATAATTTTACTTCTTCTAAAAATGGTTGCTTTGCATTTGTTTGAAGCAGTGTTTTACATTATGCGCATGTTAGCATGTCTATACGTAGACAAATTCCTTAGCTTGACGAATCTATCAAACCTATATATACTCCATGAATATCCTTAAAATGCACCATTAGTTACATACTTACATCGTGCATGTACTCTATTTAATGAATGTATTAATTGTTACATTACTTAGAATTGTTTAAATAGCTTAATTCATAATTTTTTGGTAGGGGTGTTCTCTTGTCGGTAAAACCGACCAAGCCGAACCAGACTGAATCGAAAATTTTGTACGTGCCAAATACTGATCAATCGAAAATTCAGTTTGGTATTTGGTAATTTTTTTTGGAATTTTGGTATTCGGTACAGTATACGGTATTGATGCCCGTATACCGAACTGTACAAAACACCGAAATATTTCATAAATATTTATTTTTAAAAAAAATATATATTTAAAGTTAAAGCAAATTATAAAATACTTTTAGATTGGTAAATTTTTTAATTATGTACAAATTATGGGCAATTATTGAAATTTAAATGTCAAATTCAAGAATTAATTTCTTTAAATATTTTTTTTACATCTTTTTGATTTTACCAGTACTAAACCGAAAAAAAACCAAATTAATTCAGTAAGTAATCGTACCAAACGGGATAGTTCGCTACGGTAAGCAGTATAAATTTTCAAAGTACCAAAATATGGGCAGTATCACCGAATGAACAATCATGTATTTTGGGCCAACTTAAACTTTAAACAATTTGGATTTGAGTAGTCATGATGAGTTACAATAGACCAACATATTAGAGGCCGATTTAGGCTAGGGCCCATCAATCTTTTGATAGAGGAAGAAAATTTAGAGTCTGCATACATTAAAATCATAATAACAGATTAAAATGATGACATCATCATAGATAACAATTGAATAGTCTTCATAAAAAAAAAATAAAAAAATTGAATAATCTAAAATCGGAATAAAAAATAGTATTTGGTGGCAAGTGACAGGTCATATTCTAAAAAGCCTAAATTGTGGTCCTATGATACCACCCAATTGATTGCTACGAGGATACATATATTTTATATATATACATTTGTTTGTACATGTATGTAATATAATATTTTTATGTGTGTACCTCTATTGAGTGTTGAAAAGGTGTTGAGAAGAAAGAGAAACGAGTGTGTGCGCGCGCGCGTGTAGAACAGACAAGGCAGAAAACATGCGACAACCTTTTTTGTTCCATAGGGAAAGAAATTATAGGATTTTGTAGGCAAAACTCATGGTTTATATTCTCCCCTTAATTTATATATAGAAATTATTCTAGGATCTCTTTCTTCGATAGCAATCTCCCAAATCTCAACTTATCGCCGATTACCTATCTTTTTATGCAACTGCGCGTCGATCTGCTTCGCGCGCGTAGACTAACTATCGGCAATTTTCTTCTTGACAAACTTTCATTTAGCGAACATTTTGGCTCACCTTGGCGCCTATTATTTATTGGGCCTTAACTTGATGGGATTTCGATCATAATCTATTGGTAGACATCGACTTAATGATCTCGGGTATAGCGCGTTTGGCCCATACGTGCCGAACTGACCCCAATCATATAATGCAGTTTTCGGAGAAGGAACATATTTTTTATAATTTACAAGTCACATTTGCTGTTATGGTGAGAGGATGAGAAAAAAATAAATAAATACTACTATTTTTTATTTATTTATTTTGGAATAAAAAAAAAAAGAGAAAATGATAATTTCCAAGTCTCTCCGGAAGGGCAAAAGAGTCCAATAATTGGAAACTAGTACCAAGAAATGGGAAGTCCGTCCCCACTGGGAGGGCGGTCCACGCGTCGGCGATCGAAACGGTCTAGATTGTGGGGGAAGGTTCTCGCTCTCCCATTGGTCCACGTATACACCTTAGACGAAACCAGCTCCGGTTTCCTCCACCAGAGCCGGTTTCGCCCTACTTTTTCACACAACACTCTCTCCATAAACAGCAGCCGATCGACGATGTGAAATCGAAATCGGAATCGGAATCGGAATCGCTCCCCAATTTAATTTGCTTCTCGAAAACCAGTTGATACATTACACATACATACGAATCTCCACTCCCAAGTAAGTCTCTCTCTCTCTCTCTCTCCGCGTATCAGTTTGTTCATTGGAAATCATAATACATACATATATAGATATGTAATTTGGTGTATATATACACATGTGTGGTTAATAAATATAGGAGGTGAGCGGGGAGATCGATCGGTGGATCCATATATAGTATAGAGAGAGAAAAAATGGGGAGAGGGAAAATAGTAATAAGGAGGATCGACAATTCGACGAGCCGTCAGGTGACGTTCTCGAAGAGGAGGAGTGGTTTGTTGAAGAAGGCCAAGGAGCTAGCTATCCTCTGCGACGCGGATGTTGGTTTGATCATCTTCTCCAGCACCGGCAGGCTCTACGATTTTGCTAATACCAGGTCTCTTTTCCCACACCCTTTTTTTTTTTTTGTTTCCCTTCAATTTTATTTGTCACCACTCAAAGGTTGATTGTTTTGCTGCTGAAATATGTACATGTGAAAGAAATGAAGAACACAATGTGTAGAGATTGGTGATTCTCATAATTTGCAACAAAATTCATCATTTAATTTATTTATTTTATTTTAACTATATATACAGTTATCTAGCTATCATGAAACTTTTTTGTTTTGTTTTATCTTGGTTCTTGAAGATGAAGATATTCGAGGAAAAAAAACAAATAAACATATTTCTTGTTTGTAGGTAACACTGTTTACAAAAAAAGAAAAGAAAAAAGTACTGTCAATTTTATTATTGAACTTGATAGAAAATTAGTAATGTATCTTTTACTTGGATTTATAAATATCCCTTCTTCACGCTTGTCTCCATCCAACAAATTGTTCATATTATATATCTCCATAAGAAACCCTAGTTTGCACTTATGATAGAATGCCTCCATGACTAATTATAGAGTTATTTAGCTCAGGCCCAAGCTCGAACTCAAGTAAGTGTTTACGAGTTCAAGCTCTAACCATAGCTTAATTAACGACTTTTTTTTTTATTCAGCTCAAGCTCGAACTCGCAACTACGGTTAAGTAGCTAGCTCATGATCGCTTTTAGATAACTTTTAGTATTTATTGATTATTATACAATTATGGGGACACAAAAATCACTAAACGACATCTGAATTTTCGACAACGAATGTTCGTTTTTTTTAGATTGTAAAGCTAAGTTAAACATTTTACTTCAGAAATGATACAAGGAGAAAAATGTTGGGTTCAGGTTGTTCCTTAATTTTTCATGATAAATTCTATTTTTGAAGAACTACTGTAGATTCACGTCTTATTAAACTCCCTTCAGTTTTATCATTGCACCATGCATGCAAATGGAACACTACGTATCAATCTGATAGCATGCTTGAAATCCGCATCTAATTGTCTTTGTTCCGTTCCCACTGGATTTTTATGCCTGCAACGATATTTTTCGTTTGTTTTAAATGAAAATCTATAAATCATCGGCAATGATAAAGTCAGCCGAATCCAATTTTCGAACATTTTCCTTCAAATGAATTATCAAAAATCGAGATACAACCATATTTTTCATGATCCATCTAAATGTACTATAAAACTGAAAACTGAAAACATTGACAGAGACGTTTCCGTTGTTAATTAAAATCTTATTCGATAAAGTGAAGTACGCATATATTAACTATCATGTATTCGTCACCCTTAGTTCTTGATGGAAAAATATGTTTATCAAAAAATTAAAACCCGTGAAATCACAGAACAAGTTATTTTGTTGATCTTTATCATGCTGTAACAGAATTGAGAAATACAAATTTGAATCAGGAGAGTTATTATCACATCACATGTAATTGAATTAAAGTCTTCTTTATTGGGTGTGCATTATCCTATAAAAGGATGTCTTTTAAACTAAATTCAATGATTTGTTTTCAAAACCATAACAAAAATAACTAATAATATTCTTCCACGAGTTCGAGTGAAGTTCATACGTGCTCAAAAACGACTTCCAGTAGCATCTTTCCCTATGATGTATTCTTTTTGTCTATCTTAGTGCGTGTGTTGTCCATCAAACAATATGCTAAGACGTACTTTTCAAGCTATTTCCCCAGCTCCAATATTGGATGTTGGATTTCAGATGGATGAGTCAACTGTGTCAGTCGGTTTAGTCAATGAATCGGGTTGGGTGCTGAACTGGCTAAGTGCGATAGACGCAGATAAATATTATATTACACGAGCTACCTAAGCAATTCATCACATTCTGAGATGCAGAACCAACCACCAATAAACTGACATTTTTGCTGTATTTTTTCTCACAGTATGAGGTCAGTCATCGAACGATACAACAAAGTAAAAGAGGAACCTCACCCATTGGCAAATCCGATTTCCGAAGTCAAGGTAATCTTCATTACCAAGTTCAGTAATTACTTTATCTCATTATGCTCACATATCCTATGATGAATTTTTTCATCACAAGGAAGCAGCATTTTTTAGCTTTCAGACGAGTATGAAGAACATTGATCACTAGCTGAAATCAAGGAAAGTAAATTAGGACATTTCTTGATTTTGTGATCCTTCCCATTATTAATTCTTCTCGTCGTACTTCACCAGCATGTATAGATGGTAATTATAATGCAAATGGTTAAAGTGAAACGGAAGTCTGCTTTTGGACACTTTGGCAGTAAATGTAGGCCAAGGCTAAATGGCTAAACCACATAATTCCCCAATTGTTCTCTCTTCAATTACATTAAAATAAACCATTTGAAAACAGAGTTAGATTGAAGACGAATACTTACTTATTGTCTGCCAAGTTTGAACTGAAAATGACGTAATATATTCCATCTTCAACAAATCATCGTCCGAAACTCATTGCCTGATAGTGTGTTTATATCCGTCTGGAAATTGATAAATATGTATTACTTTTATTGGTTAGCAGTAGGAATTGCTGCTTTGAACTATCTATACAATAGACTACAAAATGTGAGTGAATAACAAATATTGTTACTGTACTTCACAGTATTGGCAAAGTGAAGCTGCTAATCTGAGGCAACAATTACAGAACTTGCAAGCGAACCATCGGTAAATGACTCTCTTTCTCTTGTATTACGAAAATTATTTGTGTGCATTTGGAAATATGAACTATAAATAAACAATCAGACTTTGAACATTGCACAAAGTTGACTACATCTTTGCATGAAGTAACAAATAGAAATCCTTCTTTTTTTTTTTTTTTGTGTGTGTGTGTGTGTGTGTGTGTGTTTGGTGGGGCAGGGGAGATTGGGAGGGCTGTGGTAGGGTCATGTTAATGCATGCCCATCATAATAAACAACTAAAGAATGTTCTATGCTACGTCTCAAATAGTTGCCCGTGATTGAATAATCTGGATTTATGAAAGGATTCAGAGTTGTGCGTTTCAAAACAATTTCAATTTTAGGTGGATTTAATAATTGAAAAATAGTTTGAAACTTGGTGACAGTCTAAAATTTATCCATTTTTGTGCAGTAACTTAGTTATACATATCTGAAATTCCTAACCCCAAATTCATCCAACATGCTAAAACATTATTGAAAATAGGTGTAATTTAGGGGCAGGTATAGGAGGGGCGAGTTGTTTTTTTGAAATAATATAACGATGGGTAGTTAAAAAAATTGGGGGAATATGGAAAAAATAAAAAATCGAAAGGGCCAAAACCCAAATTTACAGAATATATCTAAGAATTACCTAAATTGCAGGCATTTAATGGGTGAAGATCTTTCTGGATTGAATGTTAAAGACCTGCAGAACTTAGAGAAGCAGCTGGAAATTGGTCTCAAGGGTGTCCGTATGAGAAAGGTTTGAAACTTTTATATGATTCACGAATAAATCTCTAAAATCATACATGTTGGAATCATATGTTAACACCATTTCCAACTCGTTGTAGGACCACATCCTTATTGATGAGATTCAGGAATTGAATCGACAGGTTGAGTCAGGATACTTACATGCATTACGAATCCTGCTTTACACTTTTACGACAGATCCCTCAAGTAGCTAATTTTCCTGATTTTGTTGCAGGGGAACCTGATCCACCAAGAAAATTTGGAACTATATCAGAAGGTAAGCCCAATTTGTACACGAAAGTAGTGTTGTGAGCTTTAAATATGAGTTTGAAACAATTCTTTTAAGCTCGAGTATTTATTTGAAGTCAGTGCATAGTAGAAGTACTAGATTCTTTAATAATAATCTCAGTGAGATGCGTACAATTCAGGTTTACGGGAGAAGGAATGCAACTAGAGAAGACAGTAATTCATTTATTAATAACAGATTAAGCATCAGAGAGGATCCACACGAACCTTTCTGTCTCCAGCTTTGCCAGCCACAGCAAGAGAATCATGAGACACCACCAGGAACTACAATTGGGTAAATATTAACTCCCGCAAGTTCAAATAGTTATGAAAAATTGTATCAACTACAATAACCATTTAATACTTAAGTTGATGGAAAATTGCAGCAGATTACAGCTGCAATAGCTGAGATATTCATACTCCTCAAGGATGCAAACTTATATCTACTGATGAAAAGGACCAATAGTTACATTCTTCTGTAACCATTGTTGGAAGAGGAGAGAGAACCAAATGTTATTATGTATGTGTAAGAAAAAAATTGTTGGATGTTTGTCACAAATATTGAACTTCAGAAGTCTGTCTGTAAAGTCTTGATATTGAACCTACAAAGTCTTGATGTGAAGAAATACAGAAATGTGTTGCAAACTACTTGTCCATTATTGTTTGAGCTTATAGTTACTTTCGAATGTACAATCTGAAGCTTAGAAGGTTTTATTAGAATAAAATGTGCACATTACACAGACTAAGTGAATATCCAGATTCAAAATGCGAATGAAAGTGATATTGAAAATATACAGTTTCACAAGACATGCGCAATTAGAGTTCCTAGCTTGACAGGGTTGCAGAAGACTAGAAACATGTCAGATTCATTGTATAAGAACTCGAAACATGTTATGTACTCAGCAGTCTCAAGTAACCAATACACTGAACTCAGAACTTTTGGTACGAAAAGCTAATACATTGGGAAGAGAACAAAAACCCTGGTAATCCCAACCACTAAACCGTTTTCACTAGAAAATATAAACAAAACCTTTGCTCCGGGTAAACCATACCATTTAAACATTTGAGTCCAGTTTTCTAATTTCTAAGCCATTTAAGCATTGAAAACAACAAATTAAGTCTACTTAATAAGGAAAATTAGTCTGAGGACAAAACAATTCAGTTTCCAGTTTCATGACTGATACGGTGATATTTATTTTTCATACTAAGACCAGAGACGGAAAATGGCGAGTTAAAACTAAAATCGGAAACAAAGTCACTAGTTCATACAAGAAACTTCAGTGCAAGAAGACAGGAAAAATAAAAAGTTGACCCATGATTAACACTGCATGAAAATGGACAAAACATATGGATTGCACTTATATGCAAAGACAATTTGGTCTCAGTTGCAGATTACCTTGTCAGCTTCCATGGCAAACGTATTACATGATATATTCTACTGCCATGATACTGTTACTTGACTGTGTTATTCAGCTGGTCATTCAACTTCCTGTGAGCAAATATTGGACCAGTTATCACTCAACTATAAAACAATGTAAGTAATCAACAGACATAACAATCTTCCCATTCTTTATATAGGAAAAATATCTAAGATATTGGTATTTAGTAAATGAATTCTAATTAATCGACAAGAAGATGAATATAAGATGGCTGGAGGAATTTCACTGCCTGCTCGTTTTTATTTCCAAACAGAGTCTTAGATTTCTTTATTATTTGAAACTCTAAGATGAATTATTCTTTTTTTACACTTTTAAAACAGTGAAAATATGCTAAACCATTCAAATGTTCCCAGCCTATACGCAGGCTACTTGAGCAGTTGGAACCCCTAGTTGACCAAAGAATAATCTTCTTAACAACAATTTCCCAGGCCCAAAAGTTTCACACACAAGCTAGAAGGCAAATACCGACATAATAAATGTATTTGCTGACTCGTTCTAATTCTAAATATTTTCTATTGTTTGAACTTGAGAACAAAAGAAATACCAAAGGATATAGATGGTTTAGATATTTCTAAAAGGAGAGTGAACTCCAGTATTTAAGTGAATAAAAACTCATTATCTTTTCAGCAACTCAAACAGGCACATATACTACACCAAGTTAGTCTAGGCTACAAGTGAACATGAGAAGAAAATGGAGCTCAAAACATCTTCATTACCAAGAATAGTTTGCATTAGAATCTGAAATCGGGGCAATAGCTATGGCTGAAACATCTAAGGGTCATGTAGATGAAAAATCACTTTTAGGCCATCCAACGCACAATGACAGTTGCTCTAATTGCATTATCTGTTCAATGTCGAAGGGAAAAAAAAAGAAAAAAAAAGGGTCAGAAAACCTGCTCATTTTCACACTCTTAGAAATACTGTTGAATTTAGATCATAATCATTGTTCATTGTCATTCCTAGACTTCCATGTAAACAAGCACCAAGTATACGAGCAATTTGATAGTTCGGTGAGCAAGCTGGCTATGAACAAGGTATACATGGAATTAAAGTGTACTGGATCCATCTATTAGATGTTATTTTATATTTTGCATAGTAAGGGCAGTTTTGTCTTTTTCTTGAAACCTTTAACCTAGTTTAAATACCTTCTTTGCAATTTGCACTAGGTTGTATCCAATTTTCTCTTCTAATTATGCATCAAGTTCTTGATTATTCTCTTATCTCGGCGTCGACTATGTATTGTTTACATTAATCTGTCACCATCAAAGGGGTTTCCAAAGCATTCTGAACCGTTCAAACAATTAAGTGAAGCTGCAAAGTTGCAGACTGATTGACCTAAATTTCTCAACAGGTGGAGAGAAACAAAAGTTATTGCTCTCATAAACCATAAATAGCAAGTTAGCAACAAGATAGATAGCTTGTTTTACTTTTTTATTGCATGCTATGCAATTACTTTCACAATTATTAAAATTCTAAATTTCTATTGTACAGCGTCTCTCGTTGCATATGCTACTCAACAGCCTTTATATTTATATTTGTATTGATGCCCGTTATGTTAGATCATTTTCTAATAGAAGATCTACTAGTGATATTATATTATTCTTCGAGGTGATCAAGTATGAAGCACAAGTTAAACTATATATTGTGCTATCAGTACTTGGATCCACTTGAAGAAAATGTTTCACAAACTTGGATACACAGCCATCAAGCAATGAAGTTAAACGCGACAAGAGTATGACATGAAAACAGAGATTATAATAAATAAATATGATGTTGCTCGAAGGAAATGATGGTTGAAAAAGAATACATAACTTTATATCCAATAACTCAAATATTAGACAAGCGTCCAAGTCCAACAACAAGCGTATTTTTCAATTTCAAGACAATTTTAACATTAAAATGAAAAACTAAGAAACTAAATCCAGTTCAATAAATCAAATAAGAGAAATGCATCCAAAGCCAATCAACTAAGGACGTGTGTAAAAAAAATCAATTTCAAGACACAATCTCAACATAAACAATCAAAGTTAAAGGTTAAACTCGAGATAGGTAGATCGTACAATTTGAAACTGTATTATATTAAGTGCCATATATTTTGTGTTGGATCTACACAAGACACACACACACCAAATATTTCCCCACACGGGTAGCATGTAATGGCTATTTACAAAACCATTTTGAAGAAAAACAAAATATATATATAGGAAACTAAATTAAAATTTATCCTGCTACATCAACTTTAAGAACTTCCGAGTGTGGTAGTGGATTAATGAGAATGACGTGGTGTGTTCAAGTGTTCCATTCACAAATGTTCAACTACAGAAGTTTGGCATAATAGTAAAACATATAGACATATGTGCAAGCCTTGATATGAATAAAATGATATGCAGCAAAGCTAAAACATGTCAGAGATATTTGGGATCCTCTTTTTAATTCGTTAATTTCAATTCATATTTCAAATTATAGATGCATTCCAACTGTACAGCTGAAGAATGAAAACATGGATAATTTAGAAGCAAATATACACATGTCTGCACCTATAATGTAAATTGTAAAATGTAAATAAAACCCAAGGACTAACTATGTGGACGCTGAACCATACAAATCTATCAAATAACACACATGAGAGAGATAGGATCCTCATAAAAGTAAAAGGTTTCATGTTTCAATTTCTAATTCTAAACAACTATAAAACCACCAAAAAGCATAAGGAACTAGTAGAAATTGAACCGCAAGCGAAATAGAAGTAATAACAATACCAGAGAAAGATCCTCTTCTAGCAGTAACATACTCCGGCGGTGCGTATCTGAATAATGTATTCCTCTTTAATCTGCTTTAAAAAACAATTCAATATATGAAAGAATTAGACATCTGAACCAGGTCCGATCATCACTTCTTCCGAAAATCTACCAAATGAAAAATCTCATAAAGCACAGAAGTAGAAATATCGCCAGAGAAAAAGTAGACAATAACAAAAATCAAATAATAAGAAAACAATATATAAAAAAATCAAAAACAAAAACAGCCGTACGAGAGAACAGTACCGGAAATATGAGCCGATCCAAATGTACAAGCTGAAAAAAGCAGCTCAGATCGTCCATCAACTGTTCTTCCGAGAAACACGGGAACGAAGCAATCGCAAACCCTAGCACGCTGTCGCCACACGTCTGCGCGATGAAGACGCAGCTGAAGTGAGATAAAATCTATTGCGAAGAGAGAGAAACTAGAGAGTGTTTAAATGCGTGATTATGTGTGCTTCTCAATGGAGGAAGAGAGAGAATTGTACACCTAACCTAACACAGACATGGAACTTTGATGTAGACGGGGAGACGAAGAAAAAATATCACCGGCAGAGGGGGAAGATACGTACAGGATAAGGTTTTCTACATGTGAATTGTGAGGTATGTTACATTTTAGGGGTATATTTCAATTTGCTCCTTCAAGTTATGAAAAATATATACTTTGTCCCCTTCCTTTTTCAGTTCTTACACTTTGGTCCTCTAATTGAAGAATTTTCACATGTGAAAGAAAACACAAACAATAAATTGGCAAACTATAAATCACATATTCAAATCCCGACATAATAAAAAACAGAAAAATCACAATTCTAGAAATTGAAATAAAAAAATTGTTCGAGAGTTGGAGATTTTCGAATTAAAATCGATAAAACTTGAATGATCTCGAATCTTCATCCCTAGTTTGAACTTTTAATTTACAGTTTCAGTATTTTAACTCCAACGTTTTTTATCAAGTAGTGTATGGAAAAAGGTCATAGTTACAAAAAATATAGAGTATATACTATATAGTATATGTATTTTCTTGGATTGGGGTGAAAATGACACCAAACATATAATTGAGGGGCACAATGTGAAATAAAACTCCACCGGTAATTAGTGCTAATTGTTAAGATTATATTAAATCGGCAAGCTAACAGATTGTTTGAAGGAAAATCGGCCACGTAGCGTCTTTTCCCACCTTGAATTTCCATATAAATAAATAATTTATGTAGTTAAATAACATTGGGAAATTACTCAAAATGGTCTCCTACCTGCCAAACAAACGTGTCAATGGACTTGCACTTTTTATAACTATATATTATATAGTTATCGTTAATTTTTAATTTTTGAGTCATTTGAGGTAGTAGTTTAGTACTTACATGCTTACATATTCAGCTAAAAAAATTCGTATAATATTATATTTCGTGTAATTTATTAATATTTTTTGAAATATTGAGTTGTCTTATTAATTCATTTGGGCTAAAAAAATTATGGGTTCAAGCTCATAAATAGGATATGGACTCAATTCCAAGCACAAGCCCAATACAATTAATTTAAGTTATTTGTGGATTTCCTTTAATTTATTTGTAGGCCTCCATCCAGCACAGCCCATAATTAAATTAAACTTACAAGTTATATTTGCCTAATTAATTAATTAATTAATTAATTCTCTAGCGATTTTTTGATTTTTTTTTCACGTGCTTTGAGATTTTTTATATTCTCTCTCGAGTTCATGCAATTACATATTCATTATATTTATAAATTAAAAAAAAAAAAAAAAAAGCAGCAAACAAATGAGACTAATTAAAAAACAGGGCACTTATCGACCGAAATACCCTTAGCAGTGGGACAAGTCGCATAATCACAATGCTCAAAGTCGTTATTGCCCCACCACGATATCTGCTTATTAGTAATCCCCACCGTGAAATACAGCAGCACCGTCATAAAAGCCACGCCGGCATCCAACGCCGCCGACAGAATGTAGTTATACCTCTGCCACCACTTCTTCCTATACCTAAACACGAAGAAGTTGAAAACCGTGCCCACCAGAATCCACGCATTGAAGTTCAGCGAAGTCGCCGGCGGCATTGCGGCGGTTGCTCCGAGAAGCACGGGGAGATTAATGAGCGGGATCCACGTGTACTTTGGGTACGCCTTGTGTAGGCCCCACACGAGAACGGGGCCCAGTAGTCCGGCGAGGAAGAACCAGTTTAGGGCGGAGTAGTTTCCTTCTGTGCCGAAGATTCTCTTTGGGCTGACGAGACCCCATATTACGGATGCGTCGTAGAATACGTGGTCGTTTGTGCATGTCCATGGACTGTTTGAGAATTTCTCTGGGTGGCAGATGTTGTCGATTGAGTGTAGCAGCCACCATGCTACCGCCATGTTTACTGTTCCAGCTATCATAGTTCCGACGAACTGAAAATATAAATATGTAATGAAATTAAATGGGCGAAAATTGACAATGGCATTTCTGATTTCCACCAATTTCGATTCAAAGTTTTTTCTGATTTTGGAACCCGGGAATTATGAATTCGGTTCCCAATGAAATTTTTTGGATCGGAAATGGATTATATATGAATTCCGATTTCCGATTTTAATTTCCGAAATTTGCGAAAAAAATTACACTAATAATATCAATATTATCATGCATTATATTTTATATTTAGATGACCTAAAAATTGGAATTTTTCGATCCAGCCTATTATTTTCGAATCCGGCCTATTCTAATATAAATAAATCGATTTTGGAACAAATTATTTTCGTCCGGTTTTTTTAAGGAACAGACTTGGAATTAGTTTTTTCACTCTTGGCAAAAATTGAAATATTTCCTTAAAGTGTTAATTCCGATCCGATTTCCATGCAGAACACGTAAAATTGCTGTGCTATATCTATTATTGTATTCTAAATTCGTGATTGATTATAACGTATATCGATCAAGAAAGAATATTCAAGGGAATATACCTGGACTAGGAACATGGATCTAGGAGGAATCTTCATGTAATGACCAAGCTTGAAATCACTGAGAAAAGCCACTGCCTGAGTCATGCTCATGTATCCATAAACCTTAAAGCACACGTTTGCAATCGGCCTTCCAGGGTATACGAGTCCCATAAAATACTCTGTTATGATATTCAACCCCGGAGTCTGCGAAAAATACGTTAGATAATTGAAAAAATAATAATAATCGTCAAATTCTTTACCATTAAAAATCAGTCGAAATCATCGTTTACCTGATTTGTGGTTGCAGTGATGATGCTGATTGGAAGAGTAAATACGAAGGCGATAAACGCAGCAAGCAGAAGAGCCCAAACCGGCATTTGAACCTCTTTTTTCAAGAATATGCAGAGAGAAAGCGAAACCATCACCGTCACTGCTAGAAGAACGTAAAACCACCACGAAGGTATATCTCTGTAATTCTTCATTAGTTTTGTGTGAATATCTTGTTTCCCCTTCGACGAAGCCCGGAAACGTTCGTATATCTCTCTACAAAATTCATAAAAAAATTCATAACACTTGAAGAAAAAAAGGAAGAAATAAGAGACTTAAAGAAACGGACCTTCCGTAGAACAAAGCAACATGTGTGATAGTAGAAGCAATGGTGGCGAATCCGAATCCGTAAGTGAGAGTAAAGAACGTGCTCAAGTGAATCCTCCCCTGCTTATTATACTGATCCAAATCGAAATGAAAGTTGCTATTAACAATCGCTTCCACATCATACAACTGCCCGTTTGCTGTGAAAATGTCTTCGGAAAATATCGGGAAGTCTTAGGCGTGGTAGACGTTGAAACCCCAATACGAAATCGGTATCACAACATACATTATTGTGAAATATCCGACGAAAATATTGGCGATAGCGAAAAAGGGAGATATAAGAGGGCTGAATAAGAAGGAAGCCACAACGGACCAATCGAGTGTGAACGCTCCGACTCCGAGCCCGTTTAGTCCCGACCCGATTTGGTGGGCGGTGACGGAGTGGGGGAATATCCAGCATATCCATGAAATGCTCTGGAGGGTTTGGAATAAGTAGCCTGGGAATATTGCCCACAGGAAGCTGCATGTTAGTGCGATTATGAAGAATTTCGAACGAGACATTTGTGGCTTCTTGTTGGTGCTATCGTGGGCCCCGTTTTCAAGGAGGATGATGTCATCTTTGTCCTCCTTTTCGTGTAGTGCTCTGTTGAGAGAGAAAGGAAAACCAGAGTTGAGAAGTAGTACAATTCATCCATTATTATGGACAATATTTCCAGAACCTGTTTTATTCAATCACGAGATTGATTATATTGTCTATCAAGCCTAATCATAATAATCTCCAAACACGGTTGGAAATTAGTTACCTGAAGAGTGAAATGAGGACAAGATTACTAGGCCACCACATGTGTGCTGGCTCAACTACGTATTTCCTTGTCAGCCCCGCCTAGGGGTGGAAATCGGAACGAGATTTCCGATTTCCGCCGATTCCGATCCGAATATTTCCGATTTTGGAATGATTTTTCGTAATCCGATTTCCGAAATTCCGATTTCCGAAAATTCCGAAAAAAATCGGATCGGAATCGGAAATTAATATAAAATTTTCGGAATTTCCGAATTCCGATCCAAAAATAATTCCGATTATTTCCGATTATTTCCGAAAATTTCCGATTTTTTTATGTATTTAAAAATTCGTTTATGTATATTACATACAGTATAAGGCTAGTATAAGGACTGGGCCATAATTTTATTTCAATATATTAACATTTTGACCCATTTAATTTTGGCCCATTTAATTTTGGCCTATTATATAAGTAACCCTAATCTCATTAACCTAATTTTTCATTTTCCCTTTTTCATAACAGCGCAGCTTCAAGATTGCTTCTCTTCCTCTCTTACTTTTTATCCGCCGCTCTGCTTCTTCTTGTCAAGTGGCCGCCGCTCAGCTTCTCTTTGTCAAGTTGCCGTCGCACAGCAGCTCCGCCTCTCCTTGTGAAGCCGCCATCTGCTCTTGGTGCAGTTGTAATCGATCATTATTTTTACTTGAGAACCTTATAGGACATTTCTCGTTTATTTCGATCGACCACAAGACCTCAGCAAATCTGTGGTAAAATTTTAACATATGAGATGTTTTCATTGGTGATTGTCAGATTAATGAAAATGTTGAGATCTGTGAAAAAATCCGAAAAAATTGTTTGTGTATTTTTTGTGGGTTTGTCTGTGTTATTTTTGTTGTTTGTTCAAGAAATTTGCAAAATTTTTGAAAAAAAAATCGAAAATGAAAGATTCTGAAAAAATCCGATTTTCCGAAATTTCCGAAAAAATCGGAATCGGATTCTGTTCTTGAATTCCGAAAAAATCGGAATCGGAATCGGAATCGGTATTACGGTTCCGAAAAAAATCGGAAATTTTCCGAAAGCCCCGTATCCGATCCGATCCATCCGATTTCCACCCCTAGCCCCGCCCAACCATACCCCATAACCTGCTCATCAAACCTCATGTTCATGTTAGCATATATATATATATATATATATATATATATATATAATTTTTTTAAAACCTTTTCTTCGTTGTATTTGGCACATTTTGTAGCTAATTAAATAATATTTCGATTTTGGTTTAGACTAATCAGTGAAGGGGATCTAGAATAGCGCGCAGCAAAATTTCGTGACCAGATTCGAAATAATGGAAAATTAAATATGGGAATTTATTCATTATCTTTCAAAAGGTGTATTAGTAAATCATTAATTCATTATACATTAATCTCATTATCTTAATCGTTGATCAGTCAGATTTGAAAAATATACTATGGTAGGAATAAACGGAAATTATTAATTCTAAATATTCAAAAATTACTCAAACGGTAGCAATAGCATACTGTATAGCAATTATCAAAAACTCACCAAAGTACAACAAAATTAGTATAAGAAATCCTTCAACAATAGATACATTATATTGTGTATATATATACCTGAGTGGTGATTATGAGCAGCCATCCAGCGAGAAAGGAAATTTTCCTCCGATAAAAAGCAATAATAATATCGACAATCATAACGGCGTAAGCAGGGCCGTTGCCGAAAGCGCTGCCAGCGTTAGCGAAAATGGAAATAAGCACATGCTCCTTGATATTAAACGGGCCGGGGTTGAGCGAGAATTGCTGGGGCCCGAACCCGGGGATCCGGACCGTCCATATTGTGGTGGGGAGTACGGCGGCCATGAACCGTCCGATTGGGAGACTGGCGACGATGACTGTGATCTGAGTGATGATGAGTGGCTCCCTGCGGTAGGATAGGAACTGGTTGAGGAAGGATAGTGTGACGCAGGAGATGAGACCCAGAATCCACATCCGGAACGTCCATACGGGTAGGTTCGGGTCGTCGGTTACGGGTACGGTTAGCCGGACTTGTTCTATCGGCGAAATCTCGTCGCCGGCGGCTTCGTCGCCGGCGGCGGTGCGTTGGACGTCGTCGTTTTTGGAAGGTTTTGGGGGTGGTGGGGTTTCTACTTCCATTGTTCCAGTTTTCGAGGAATTATTTGGGGGGAAGCATTTACTGAAGTGGGTGAGTATTTATATGAATTATTAATTAATTAGTTAATTAATAGTGTGAAATAATTTTGGGAATAAACGAATTATGTAGTAAATTCGAAATGGATTCCGTACGTCGAGATTTTACAGTGTATATTACCAAAATTGGAAGGTTGGATGTATCATCAACAATTATGTATTATTTATTCATACATACATAAATAAAATAAAATAAAATTGACAATAAGTGTGGATTAAAAATTAATTAAGCAACGTTGTAGGTAAAGTGCCAGTTGTTCCCGTGGAATCAATTGAACGTATACGTTGGTAGTTTCGTCCCATATCCGATGATGGAGTTTTCTATTTTTTTTTTTTTTTTTGTCATTATTATTTTTCTTTTTTATTTATTAATTTTTATTATTTTGGGTCAAGATGGAGATTCCAATCATCCCTACATTGACAATTGGTACATACAAAATTCTTTTTATGTCCCACCATTTGATTATTTATTTGACTAACAGAATAAGTTACAGGCGACAGCCGAATGAGCTTTTCTTTTAATTTTTTTCTTTGTAATAGTTTGGTAAATGAATGTTGATTGATTGGACACTAACCCAACTTTGACGAAATTAAAGCCCAAAATTAAAGGGCCCAATAACTTTGACGGGTTGAACTCACTGGATTACACCAAATAAAATATACTGAGTGATTATTAATCGTTGAACTGCATATACTGATATACATAATTAATTGGACTATGCTCAAATAAAATCAGTCTGAGTTATCAGGCTTTGAGTAGATCCGACTTAATTGCCGGTCCTAATTACATGAATCTTTAAAATTCATATGGTATATTTTATCGAGTGTTCATCTCAATGACCAGATCCCAAATTATATTTTTATAAAATTTATATCATCAAAAATTTCTACAAATCTTATAATTTCAATTTACAAAAGTTAATTTGGATATTTTTATTTTATTTTATTTGTTTAGTAAAGAAGCATTGTAGTGTTGATTGGACATGTAACGACATATGAAATTATTGGGAACCACGCACGCCTCTTCGGTTTCCACGAAATGTATTCAATATATTGAATATTCCAAAGATTGGAAAAATAAAAAATCAATTAATTCACAATATTGAATAATCCAAGGAGACAAATAATTGAAAAATGAATTCAATTGAAAGAGACACAAACATAAGCATACGAGTTCCCTCGTTGACTAAATAATGGTCTGAGTTTGACTTTGTGATCTTAAAATTTCAATACTTCATTAACTTCACTTTCCATTAATTTTACTTTAGTAGAAAAAAGAAAACTAATATTTTTTTAAACTCATACCATAATCGGGCTCTAGCTGTCAAACACAACGAAATCGCCACCGTCGATTCCAAATCCATCAAAAAAAAGTCTGAAAAATAAAATAATTAAATAAAAACAATTAAAAAAAGAATCTAACCTGACCACCGATCAGGCAGCACAAACCAAAGATTGGTGGGTATATTCCACTAAATTTTATACAAACAAAATTCTCATGTTATTTAATTACACAATTAATCAAATAATTAAAAATAAGTAATTTCTTGTTCCCAATCATATCTTCCAAAGTTGAAAGTCGTCAACTTTTTTGATTCAATTTCACTCCTTGTTGACTCCTTTTTCTTTTCAGAGTTCAAAGGCAGCTTTTTCTTTCATTGAATCGAAAAGTTTTTTTTTTTTTTTTTTTTAATTTATTAATTTATTTATTTTCTCGTTGGGTTGCACAGTTACGCAGCACTCATGGCGGAGAACAATGGCGTGGGAACGATTCCTCAAACTGCTGAAGAAGATGATGAAAATCACCATGGACACTATAATCTGGTAATTCTCTCTATTTCTCTTATTTTATTTTATTTTATTTTTTATTTGCTTTTTCAATTTGCAAGTCAGCTGAGGTGTGTGTTCTTCAATTTTGCAATTTTCCACTTTTATTTAGTGTGTGTGTGTGTGTGTGTGTGTGTGTGTTGATATAAATTTATTCTTCAATTTGATGGATTTGTGGATTGCAGAAATGCTTAATTTTGTTCTTACAGGTTTTTGGAATAAAAAAAATTGGGGGAAAATACTTCAATTTAAATCTGAATCTTTTAACTGAGTTGTTATTTTCATCATTGGTTTTCGAAACAATTACAGTTAGTAAGGAATCATCACTTATTGCTGCTTACAATTAGTCATGTAGTTTTCGAGGTTTTGATGTTCTTATACTTTCGATTGAAATTGTCCAAGAAATCAAGGAACGAAATTAACTTACTTTCCGACGAAAATACCCTCAGGAATACGAAAGAGAAGAAGCTAGCTTAATGCAGCAGCCAAGAAAGCCGAATCTCTCGTCTCTCGAAATACCCGTTCGATCTTTAGAAAATGCATTGTACGATTTCACAAAGATAGATATTCCAAGCCCGAATTCTACCAGAGCAGGATTGCCTCCAAGATCAAGTTCAGCAAAATCGAGATCACAGAAGAGCTTCAGGGCTAAAAACCTATCTCACGAAGCTGAAAAAACGGTTCTCATAATACCAGAAACGCCCCTCTCTGACAAGCCATCCACTTCGAGATCGTTTTCCTTGAACAAAATTTTGTTCTTGAAATCTTCGCATTCTTTGCCAGTTACACCAATTGCAAATGTAATACCGATGGCAAATTTTGTTGATCGCCAATGTAAAACCCCCGTAAGTTTGTTATTTATTACTAACTTACAAAGATGAAGTGCATTCTTATGTTTATTTATATTTTTATTTTCTGACGTAACATTGTTTCGTTACAGCAAACTGAAATAAAACAACATATGACACGCTCGTTTTCGGTCCCAGTTAACGTTAAATTGAGAAGCTTAAGGCGTACGGATTCATCTGGAGTGTTGATACGTGTGATATCAATAAACCAACGGCCTATACCAGTTGAAAATGGTTCCGAAGATATATCTCCCGATACAGAAACTGGTATATATATATTTTGCTTCAATAGTTTTTTTTTTGGACCTTTTTTGTAGTCTAATTTTCGCAAAATTCAAAATACGGAAACTGTAGTCTTTTGAGTTACCTTTATAATCCAACTTGAATCAACTAGATTGGATGTAGGGTGACCAAGTTATGCGTAAGTGAGTTACATTTTTAAATTTAGATAACCCAAGAATTTTAGATAATTCATGCATATATTTCTCACACGACATCCAATATTGGTGATTCGAGTTGGTTGAAAAAGCTAACTCAAGAAACTACAAATCACGAGTTTTGAGTTTTGCCAAATTCAGCCTAAAAAATGGTCAAAATCACGCTCGAAGTCGAAAAACGATATTATAAAATTTATACTCTTGTTATTTTAGATGATGGTGGGGAGGACATTCCGGAAGAAGAAGCTGTTTGCAGAATCTGTTTTGTGGAACTCGGAGAAGGCGGCGAAACGTTAAAGATGGAGTGCAGCTGCAAAGGAGAACTTGCACTTGCACACAAAGAATGTGCTGTAAAGTGGTTTAGTATCAAAGGTAATAAGACATGTGATGTTTGTAGGCAGGATGTCCGGAATCTTCCGGTAACATTATTGAAGTTGCAGAATCCTCCAGACATTGTACGAAGACCGCCCGCTGGACCACAGCAAAGGGAAGTCGCTCGTTACAGGCAAGTTATTTGTTCTTAAATTTCCTTTGTTTTAAAAAAAAAAAATTTAATTATTATTAATTGTTCTCCAAATCAAAAAATATTTTTTTTTGATAATTTTGTTTATTTCAATTCTTGATAGGGTATGGAGGGATGTGCCTATTCTTGTAATGGTCAGCATGCTTGCGTATTTCTGCTTTCTCGAGCAGCTTCTGGTATAGTCCATTCTTGTATTTCGCATTTATTTATACGTATGTTTTAATTTATAAAACAAATGAAGTTTTTCTTAAAAATGTTATTTGCTTTATAATAGGTGTCGGATATGGGACCTAGAGCTCTTGCCATATCGTTGCCTTTTTCCTGTGTTTTGGGTCTCCTCTCATCCATGATTGCTTCTACCATGGGTATGATCCACAACCTCCGTTTATTTTGTCTTCAAATTATTATAAATTATTCTTTCTTTTTTTTGACTAGTTATAATATATACCCTTTGAAAGATTAATGTTGAGAGAAGAAATGTGTTGATTGGCAGTGAGCAAGAGTTACATATGGGCTTATGCTTCTTTCCAGTTTGCGATAGTCATCCTTTTCGCACATATATTCTACGCCGTGGTAAGACATGCTTCCTCTTCTCTCCCCTCCATCTATTCGATCCTATCAGAGCCTAAATATTTTTCATTTGTCCGATTGCTCAAAAAGAATAAAAATAATTAATGTGCAGCTCAATGTGAATGCAATTCTCTCGGTGCTGCTTTCTTCTTTCACGGGATTTGGAATTGCAATAAGCACCAACTCACTGCTTGTTGAGTACCTAAGATGGAGGGCAAGCCGTAATCCTCAGTCTTTGCCGCAGCACATAAGCAGCGGCGTACAGTCTAACCGAAACGACCAAAGGCGGCACCACCACCCCCACCGGCAGTTCCATCAGCATCACCACCACCACCACCAAAATCGGCACCCAAATAACGGTCGTAACAATCAAACTCCAAGAACACACAATGTATCTGTAGGGTCAGCTGAAAACACAGGGCAACACGAAAGCATGCAGCAGAGTGTGTGAGAAAGTTATAGAAGAGTTTGAAAGGGGCTTTTTCGTAACTTTACATTCATGTATGTATCCTAGTTGGCAATCTTTTGGTTGCACCAATATTGAAACTGAAGAGGATTGGAGACTGATGTCCAAATAGTAGGGTAGGTTATTAGTGCATTTTGATCCTTGTGTTTCTTAGAAGAGCTGTCAAATGTAATTTTGCCCTCAGTGTATTTTGTAACTATTGTACCGATAAAGCTCGACTT